AGTCACATGATCGGGGTGTTTAATACACACCAGACCCTCACTACTGCACTGTAAACCAGCCCTCCATAGACTCGTGTATCACCACCGCCGCCGGCGGACAGTTATCGGAATCGACACCCCCTGCTGTAGCCCGATCAATAGGCTTCATTTTATTTCGAAATCACTGACACTGCGGGCTTTCTTAGGTTTTCACTTTAAGATCCAAAGACATCTCCGAAGTCCACATATTCAAACGTAAATTGTATTTTTGAAGGACGAGTCACAATAATGACAGTTTTGATTCCTAAACACGTAAATAACATGCTTTACAATATAATGTACATTATTATTTAGTATTATACTCGTCAAACTTTAATTATTTTTTTTACAGGACTCCGAAACATAACTTATATCTAGTAGCCTAGAAAAAATAATCTAGGATACACATTTAAATGTTAAAGGATTAAGTGAACAATCAGTTTAATATACAAGAAGGAAAACGTTCAGGTCACACCTGAAGAAGGCTCGACAGCCGAAACGTTGTGTTTTCTTTCTTCTCTTTTCAGCAGGGAATAAACCTATTACTTGTTCCTTTGCAGCCTACGCATGCTGACACGGCTACCCACCTGAACTACTTCTATCAGTTCAAATGTCGACATTTAAAGTTGCAGTAACACTGTGAAAAGCGATGTCAGAAGGTGACATTTCACAGTGTGGCCGCCAGGCGGAGACACTGCTACACGTGTCTATGGAGGCTGCTTTAATGAAGCCCTTTTCAGTTCCCAGCTGTGCTCCACTGACCTCAATGTCATCTTTATCCAGTCCAGCTCCTGGCCCTGAGCCTCACTGACAAAACAGACACCAGCTCCAGGCCAAGAGTCTCAGACTGACACTCTCACCAGCTCTGAATGAGCCTCAGTGGGATGTTGTGCTCTCTCTTTCTGATCTTTTCATCTAGCTAACAGGTTCAGTGCAGTGTGCTGACTGAAATCATCTTCTCATCACAAATCTTTTACTCTAGTGGTAGCTTGTCAGTTTCTGTCTTCTTCATTTTGTCTTTTTTGTCTCTCCCACAGTGCAGAACAGTCTGTCTGAACTAACTTCACACATTCTGGCAGCTCTGTCACTGTCACGTCTGTCTATTGAGCTGTCTGGATCAGAGTTGTTACTTTCCAGGTATAATTTTTAATCTGTAAATCTGAAATTTCAATTAAATTTAAATCTGTCAATCGTTAAGGAACCAGGGGTAAAATCTGAAGGACTGTGGCCTCTCTTACACTAACTCTTATCATACAAGATTGCTGTAGGCTTTATTGATCATTATGCAATTGATCCTGTATTGACTATTGTGTCTAAACCCCTCTGTACATCTGTCAAACACCCCACTTCTCATTTCAGCTGTAACAGGATACAGCTTCTTCTCCCTCTGTGAGAATGTGACAGTATTCCTCCAGCAGTCCCTCTCTGTCAGGCTGCCCGGAGACAGGACCGACCCCAGTGTGGCGCCACTGCAGGCTTGTAGACCTCAGGACTGGATCAGAAGGGGGTCTGTAACTGGTCTTTGATTGTAGTCAGATTTCTGTCCACCAGTGTCTTCAGTCAGGTTGCTGTAGTTCATTCTGATTTGATGCAGCTCATCTTTCAGATTGAAGAAAGTTAGATTCAGTCTTCCATGCTCCTCCCTGTCACAACAGAGACTCTGTTATCTGTGAAAGATTGATACATTTGACTTTCTTGACAAATACTGAAATTCACAGGCTGTATACTGACACTCAGACCTCACATGGTCATTTATAAATTACTTTAGCAGATTTTCCAAATATACTGTAGCATAAAGCCATAAACCCAGCAAATCTTAATATGTAGCTTTTCCCAATAGTACTCATTAACTTCAAGAAAGCACAATACCTTGACCAAGTGCCCAGTAACTCAAACTCTTCTGTAATCATGTCTCTAGAAGTCTCTAGAAGTTTCAACAGGCTTCTTGTCTCCTCTTGGCGTGTTGACATCACTTCTCTGCGTTTCATATGGTTTAAATATGGCAGTGTAGCCTTTAGATTTCTTAGTCACAGGCATCTTCAACCCTGTACTCCAGAGGTTGTTGGAGACTTTACAGGAAGTCGTTGCAGGTTTTGCCTTGAACATATTGAGAATTCTTCTGTCTTCAACTGCAGATGTTTTTCTTGGTTTACCTGGTCTTGGCTGATTTGTAATTATTACTGTGGTTCTTCAGTATATTCCAAACTCCAAACAGTCTGGATTTGTCCCGTTTTAGTGTTATGGTTTTGATGGTGTTTCTGCAGCTTCTCTTTAGCGGAAGAGTCACCAAACGCCAACGTCAGAGTGGAATAGGTCTCATATCCTTAGCCATAATCACCCAAAACTCATGCCACCACCCATTTTGTTAGGGTTCTACTGTATAACTGCTGATATCAGGACTAAGGGGGGTTGGGGGGTTCAGGGGTACCTGTAGTTTCAAGGTGGGGGGGGGGGAGGACAGTATAAGAGAAATGTAGGTGTCATTGAAGACCAGGAACATTGCTGCAGCAAAGACAGATTCTGTCTTAAATGAGACACCAGTGGACACATTTATTGACACGTATTTCGCTGTTATACAGAACACGTCTAAACATATATTAAAAGTGTATCTTATTAAACCAGTTAAGATTTCGGTTAAAATTTCAAACAAACCTTCTTAAATAAGTCTGACAGCAATCTATAAAATGAAAAAGAAAACGAGTAATAAACCAGAGAAACTTTTTTATTTATAAAGACACTTGTAAAGTTACAGCTCTTGTACTAAATAAATCGAAAGGTATCGGTGCAAAACCCACAAATGTAAAATGATTCATCCTGACAAATGTCTAAAATAATACAGTAAATCAAACATCTTGTCCTTTTTGATTCGTTTAGGCAAAAACCAGGATCAAGCAGGACAGTAATACCCCTTCAACACAACCCCGAATTTTGCTTTACTTCTAAAAATACATGTATAAAAATGTTCAATCAAAATTCAAAGCAAAGATCATATTGAACATAAAGTTTGATCTTTCCTGTTGTAAAAAGACAAGTGTGACTGGAAACGGAGGTAGAGGTGACATTTTAAAACAGCAGTTTCTTAAGCAGCCTCAGTGAGAGTGTGGGTGTCAGGGCAGGTGTGTCAGTGACACAGACAGGTCACTCAGCTGTAGTCGTCACCATGGGAAGCTGCAGTGGCTGCACACAGCGGAGAGTCTAAGGAGACAGGGGCAGGGAGCTGCCTTCACAGATCCAGAGCACTGATGATTCACATTTTATATTATTCCAATTTTTAACATCATTGACACCTAATGTGGTAGCCAAACAGTCTTCATTCTCACAACTATAAGGTTCACCAGCACTCCAGTACCTGAAACACAACAGTTTGTCTTTAACTTAAACACTCACTTAGCTCATCAGCTTCACAGAGGAAACACTGACATACTGTTCTTGAAAACCTGTTACCTTTCCCTCAGTACAGCTCATAGTGGAAACTGCTGGTGCCATTGCTGTCCTTCACCTGTCAGAAGCAGCAATGTCTTCACTACATTCAAATGCTCACATCTGCTCAGTCATGTCCAGTGTCTACTTTGTATCTGGGATCTTATACTGCATGTGTTTCTCTATAGTAGGTTGTGTGTGCGTGCGTGCGTGCATGCTTGCGTGTCTAAGGTCTATTCCGCCACCTAAACAAAGCTCAACACTTCAGATATTTTATTTCTTCTTTCTAGTTTTCAGTGTGGGGTACCCTTTCATCTTTCATTAACAGTCTGTTTGGATAGGTACAAGTTAAAATCAGTATCTTCACTGATCTTACCCTTCAGTTAGTTGAGTTCCATCCACCCAGATCCAGGTTCCTTCTACAGCTACATCAGTCATTCCCATCCAGTATTCACATCCTTGTGTATGACTGCTGATGAACTCCTGAGCACAAAACAGAAAGATGCACCTCTAGTCTCCCTGTTGAACAAGTGCCCCCAAACACAGAACCACTCCAGTGCCCTGTGAAACAGAAGACAGGCAGAATTGGCACCGCTGGGCTCCGTGACTGACCTCAACGAGAAGAGAAGCAGGTTTGTCTGCTCTCGAGCACTGACATTTTACACCACAAGACTACATGCTGTTTCATTCCAGAGAAAAAAGGAATAATAGAGCAGCTACTCTAAGATACAATGCCACAGATCAAGGTATTTTTTTTTCTGCTGTATTTGCCCAGTGTGTGATATTGACAATTATGAAGACAAAACTGCTGTCATGTTTTAAGGGATTACATTAGACTTCGTATAGGCAGACATAGCAGAAGTGTTGATAATGTGATACCATGGGGATTGTGGACACCACACTGGTTCACCCCTCTAGACACCCCTCTAGAAACACCCCTCATAGTCTGTTCTCTCAATCTATAACTTTCCGAGCCATCTCGGACTCTGAGACTGACAGCCTCCCACTCACACATGCATCTGTCCTTTTCATGGTCTCCTCTGAGACTTTCCTGAGGCTTACTCTCATCACTGAGCCCTTTGCTCATGGTTGCCTGGTCTCAACAAACCTTACCTCTAATTCTTTCAGGAAGTAGCAGTGGAAGACCCTTGACTCAGTCATTCCTGTTGGGCTGGATCTGAACAACTTCCTTCTTTATCTTACCAACAGGCTGACAAGGAAACACTTATGATCACTCCCTCAGCTGAATCTCCTTACCAACCAAACACTCTCCAGCTGTGGTGGCTTACTAATGCTATCTATCGAGAGCTCCACCTACCTGCCAAACACAGCCCATATGATACCACAAAAGGCTGTGTGAATATTTCTTTTAGATTTTATAACATTAGGAGTTCAGTTTTACCTTTCCTTATACTGTAAATACAGTGGCATTAGTAGGGAGAAAAATATTTTCATGAGTAAATACCAAAGACTAAATTCAGAATAAAGGTAAAGGATCAGTTTCTGTCCACTTGTCATTTAATTTCTGTATTGTACTTTTCATTTTGCAACAGAGTAGCAGTGAAGTACCACACCTACAGTACCTGTTCAGTTCTATTGTTTATAATCACCAGGTCAGCTCCCTGCTTCCTGCAGGCAGTGCGACTGTCATTCCAGCTCAGTGTATCAGTAGAGAAGTAGTAACACTTGGTGCTGAAGAGCTCCCAGCCCCAAGGACAAGGTCTACAGTCTTCTTCTGTAGAGTAAGAACAGACAACAGCTCATATCAGTTCATCTCTCTCTCCAGCACGGTGCATCCACCCAGCACATCTCTTCAATGTGTAGACTTCCAAATGGAACTTTCTACTTCACAGAGGCTCAGGAAGACCAAGTCATCAACATAACATTCTGAACAGGGAAACAGCCCAAATAGTCCATCAGAATCCTTACAAACAGAATTGGAAAAAGGGATCAGACAACTCACCTAGTGTGCTTTGGTTTGAGACATTGCAGTACCAATCCACCGGAAAGTGCTTTCTCAACTTAGTGATCACAGATGTGAGATTTTCTTTTTCTTCCTGTAACTTCGCTTTGCCTACAGACAGGTTGCTGTAGTTTTCTCTCAGGTGATCCAGTTCATCCTTTAACTGAGAAATGTTCTGAGAATTCTCAATATCTGTGGTGACAAATATCGATTTACTGTACTTTAAAACACAAAAACCTTTCTCACAGAGTCGTAATATCCTATTTCCTTCACCGCATTTTGTGGTGGGTCATCATCTCACTAAATTTTTTCTTGTAACATCTTGACAAATGCAACAGAAGCTGTTTCACAGGTCACAAGCCTTTTCCATGTAGTCACTAAATGACACCTGATCATTTCTAGTTTTCAGAGGTACTGTATGTCTTTCTAGATTGAACAATTACTGAATATTGTAACATGAATGACTGAAGTTGACACTGTAGTGAATAAAAGAAGTAGCTTTTAATGCCCTTTTAATGTACAGAGAGCGCTATTCCCAAACTTAACGTCCATAACTCCTAGACAGTAATGAAATATGTGAAGGACAGTCTACAGTGCAACAGGTCAGTTCTAGTGCAAACACACACAGTGCTGCATTTCCTTCAGAGTCTCTTTGCTTGCTAGGTAACTGCACAAATACCTCCCCCCACCCCTCCTCAAGATACACAACTCAAGGGGTCTCGCTGACAAATATCAGGTGCAGAAACAACTACAATATGATTCTTAGTGAACATTTTCAAAAAGGCATTGAAGTGAAATTTTCCAGGACTACTTAATTCTCCCTACTGTTCTGTAGTCCACAACTGCTGATGCTATTAACTTTGCATCAATCAATGTCTCAAATCAGACAAAAACACAACACAAAGTTATTATTTTACTGTATGATCCCAGAGAGAACATGATGTTTTTCAAAGCTAGGAAACAGTCAATAACTCTTCCCTGTACAAGACAACTATGCACAGTGCAACCACCATACACATCTAAACTAGTCATACTGCAGCTAAAAACACACTGTTATACTCACAGTAGACAATGAAAGCTATGATGGTAATCGATAGAGCAGTACCCAGCAACCCCAGACACACTGCAGCCAGTCTATAGGCAGGAGGGCTGGGCTTAGCTTTCACTGTAGGCACAAAATGAGGAGAAGTGCTGTCTGGTCATAAGTGGAGTTCCACAAGGCTCAGTACTTGAACAACTGGGATTTCTTCATAGCAATGATAGAGCACCAACTGAAAATCTGGTAAAGCTGCACATACAATGCTTACACTAAGGTATATGACTGGTTCATTCCTAGCTATTGTAATGTTAAAAACAACTGCTGCAGAAAACAAGATTACATGCATTAAGTAAACTGGTAGCCACTATGCTATCAGAATGAAGGTAAAGTCATTTACGACGAAAGTCCAGTAGATGGTGTTATAATGGTGATTGCCAGCATCCAAAACTCCTTGAAATGTGCACTTTGAGCAAAAGGTACAAGACTTCTCAGATCAGTGAGAATACAAAACACTAGAATAGAAACAAAAAACACTTGAAAACGTAGGTGATGAATTATACCATCACAGTGCAAGTCTTTAACAAAACAGAACACTCTCTGCTCAGACAATAGCAGCATAGATCATTCACAGCCTCAACACCATATGGCACCATTTCTTTCTTAACAGGTGATAAGGATGTTTTACTGAAAGGAGAAAAATTACCTTTTCTATGAACTTTGAGATGCGTGATCATGAGACTTTGATATGTCTGAGAATATCAAACACATCCACCGCTCAGCTCTGCTTGTCTGACAAGGAAACACTTTGTACTTCATTGTAAAAAGACAAGATGTATGACTGACCTGGAGGTCCAAAAGGAGCTGCTGTCTGAGCTGAGGGAGGTCCAGCTGTCTTTATCTTTTCAAAGGTCACCTCCTGTTTCACTGATAGAGACAGAGCATCAGGGATTTAACACACAGATTCATACCATCTCTGTGGAACTTTGAGACTGCAAAAAAAAGATACTTTACAGGCATAGTGTTTGGCAACAGCTTGATGACATCTCTTCTGCCTGTGTGATTTCCTGGAAGAGCTTCTTTCACTCACTGGTATTGGATATCAGAAAGTGCAGGAGAAGCTCTGTCGCAGTTGGGGTGTTAAATTGAATTCTTCAGATTGATTGGGCAGTAATATTCTTTCTCTGACTCTGTGTCGGATTCTTTACAGTGGTCAGCATGAGAAGATGTGGATTTGTAACAGGTATCAATAAATCCCAAGGTAAAGAACTGAATCGTTCTCATTGGGTCATGTTTAACCTTTGCATCCGATATATTAATGTTGTTTACATACACAGGTCTTTATTGTACAGAGAAACAAAACATGCAAAACAGGGAACATGAGACAGTAGATGTCGTAAAGCTCACAAAAGCAAATTTTCATCACCCTTAACAACAGATATCACAGATGCTGTATAAATGTGACACTGAAAGGAACACAATGTGGGGGAAAAACAAACACACATACAGTACAGACAGAAATAAGGGGATGTCAGCTTTCAAGCTTTAGTCCTGCGACAATCTCTTATTGTTTCATGTCTCGTGTTCAGAAAAACCACAGTAACAGAATGATTGAAGCCATTGAACTTCATCATGACAAAGAGAAGAGGCTGGACATTGACAGAAGCACATGCAGCTGATTGATTGAAAGCATAAAGACCAGAGGAGGCTTCCTGCTTCCTTCTTCAGTGCTCATTTACACATGGAGAGAAGTCCAGCTGTGAATGTTAACAACATGGCTGGGCAGACTGTTACAGACTCCCAGAGGGGAGTGTGAAAATAACTGCAGTGTTATCATCAAACAACCTGTCTCCTCACTTGCTCTTGTCTCTACAGTACTGAAACCAACTTCAGCTCTTAAACACACGGACCAGCACTTCACAGGAGCAAAGCAATATCATGAAGTAAGGGAACAGTTGACGTGTTTATTCCATGCTGAAAAGAAAAGAAAGGAAACACAACATTCCAGCTTTGGAGCCTTCTTTGGGTGTGTTCTTCCCTTTTTTTTTCTTTTCAGCCTAGAATAAATCTGTTACCTGTCCCATTGCAGCCTACACATGCTGACACAGCTCCCTACTTGACCTATCATTAAGTACCCCCTTCACACACCAGGTTTCAACTATAGAAAATACATTAGTCATTAATCTGAAAGTTAGGAGATTGCTTAAGCTTTTCTAACATTACTTTCAACACAAACTCTTTCCGAAGTTTAGGCATTATTATTATTTGTCTGCTCACTATGTAGTGCACTAAACTGTCCTAAGCAATTACAATTCTCATATAACAGCTTTAAACATAAGAGCTTGCACAGCTGGACTCACGTATATGATGCACTCCTGGCTTCCTGGGTGGGTTCTGATCCATTGTGGAGTACACATTCTCATCTGGGTTGACCAGTCCAGAGTATACACCGTCTGAAGCCATGGACTGTGCTGTGTGTGCAGAGAAGCTCCCTGGTCATTAACCTATGCTCTTACATTACTGGGCTCTCACTCTGAGGATTGTGCTAACACTGAGCATCTGTTCTGTATGCGATCGCATCTTTCTTTTAATTTAAGATTTAATTTCTAATCACCAGTCACATCTTATCAAGAGCGTCTGTCTCCTCATTTGTTCACCTTTCACTCTATAGTAATTAGATCAGCTCCAGCTCTTAAACACACAGTCTAGCACTTCTGAGGAACAAAGCAATATCATTAAGTCCTTCGAACACCAGGTATGACCTGTAGAAAATACATTATTAATCTGAAGTCATTACGAATCTGAGGTTCAGGACCAGGCTACAGCTTCACAATCTATAACTGCTGATCTCCATTTCATCTAAACTCTTCACTGCCTTGTCAAAGTTGACTATGGAATAAGAGATCCCAAAGCCATACTCACCTGTGTACCCCACTCTTGGGTTGCAGGTTGTGTTCTCATACATTGTGCAGTATGAATCCTTGTCTGGGGTGACCAGTCCAGAGTGTGTACCATCTGAAGCCATGGACTGTGCTGTGTGTTTAGAGATGCTGTCCTGGGCAGTAACGTGGGCTGTTACAGTACTGCTCCCTCACTCTGAGGACTGTGGGAACACTGAGTGCTAGTTATGTATGACATTAAGAGGAAGCTACAATCAGTCTACTGGAAGTACATCACAATACAATATAGAAGTACAGTACAGTTACAAAGAGGGGGTAACGAAAATGGTGAAAACCAGGATTTGGCTGATGGGTCTCATCAATAAGTAAACTAATTATTCATAACCCCAAAATTATTAGTGATTTCTCCAGAGAATACCAGAACGGTGGGTATAACTAAAGGCAAGTGAATTCCTTATTCTCTGGCACAGCTTTGGTGAAAAAAGTAATAATCCAGCACTCTTGGTTCAACAAATGTTTATTAATGTCTAGACACCATCTAGATTATACCATCAAAACATATAACACACGAGTTACTCTATGTACAATATTTATAAAAAAACAAGGCCTAACATTCTAATCACCCAGAAAAAAAAACAAACTCTACGAAGTACAGAACTCTTAATTCATGTCTGCAAAGGCCAAATGAGAGATCAGCTGCCTTCTAAATAAATGCGATACAACACACAGTTTAATCTTTTGGTCGGCACCCCGGATGCCCCAAAATAAATGGGAGCCGACTGTATCTACTGTACCCATTCTAGAAATGCGCCCCAAGCAGGAAGCACGTTTCTAACTGAGGTATCTTCTACCCAGGAAGCCCAAGTTCCCTAAACACACAATCTAGCAAGCTCTCTAAAAAGGTTCAAATCTTTAGCTCCAGTCAGATCCTGTTTGGATGATCATGAAGTAGGGGCTCTCACCAGGAGCATGCTTCAAATACCAACTCCTCTAGACCATCTCTCCTTCCTTCGTGTTTCTTACTCTTCTTCTCTGTGCTCTTAATGTGATCTTCTACTGTTTCTGTACTGCTCATTGACAATCATTAACCCACAACTTACCTAGGTACAGCAAAGGTCAAGTTTGCAATTGTTTTTGCTGAAGTGACCCCCCCCAGAACTCGGCAAACATCCTCCCTGCTTTGAAGCTGGAAGTGCTAACTCTTCCAAGTGTCACAAACATTACCTAAGATCTATGAGACACTTCTCAGGCACCTAAAGCTGCCACAATAAGTATGAAATGTTATGATGTTATCCAGAATTCGGGAAGATGTTGTTAAACTACACTGTCACAGTTGAACAAACAGAAAGAAGTTATCTTAATGGCTTCTGGATTAGAAAGAGGGTAACCCTTGATTACAATGAGACTTATATAAAGGAATTGCTGATGTATTTGCTCTGGTTGTGTCAGTGAGTGAGGAATGAGGAACAGGACAGCAGAACTGCAGGTTCACCAGGGTTTATTATCCTTACATTGACATGGTTAACAGGTGTGTGTGC